AGGGGAAGAAAACAGTAAATGATATTCCCATTATTAATGAATATCCTGATATTTTCCCCGATGATTTGTCTGGACTTCCTTCGGATAGGCAAGTAGAATTCCGAATTGACCTTATGCATGGTGCTGCTCCGATTGCAAAGACACTTTATCGTCTTGCACCAGCTGAGATGAAGGAAATGATGATTCAACTGCAGGAATTACTTGACAAGGGCTTTATTCGACCGAGTACCTCTCCTTGGGGTTCTCCAGTATTGTTTGTCAAGAAGAAGGACGAATCGATGCGAATGTGTATTGATTATCGCGAGCTAAATAAGGTAACTATCAAGAACAAGTATCCACTACCTCGCATAGACGACTTGTTTGATCAACTTGAGGGTGTTAGCTATTTCTTGAAGATTGATTTGAGGTCTGGCTATCATCGGTTGAAAGTACCGAAGACTGCTTTCCGTACTCGTTATGGGCATTTCGAATTCCTTGTCATGCCATTCAATTTGACAAATGCTCCTGCTGTATTCATAGATATGATGAATTGGGTATGCTGTCCAATGCTCGATAAATCTGTCATCGTATTCATTGATGATATTCTAATCTATTCCAAGTCTGAAGCTGATCATGCCATTCATATTCGTGAAATATTAGAACTTCTTCGAAAGGAGAAACTATATGCTAAATTCTCCAAATGTGAATTTTGGCTTCGTCAAATTCAATTTCTCGGCCATGTGATTTCTGGTGATGGTATATTAGTAGATCTTACCAAAATTGAAGCCATTCAGAATTCGGAAGCGCACCGTAATGCTTCTGAAATTCGCAGTTTCTTGGGTCTCGCAGGGTGTTACCGGAGATTCATTAAAGATTTTTTGCGTATAGCTGTACCTCTCATAAGTCTTACACGAAAGGAAGTAAATTTCAAATGGGGTGAAGCCCAAGAAAAAGCTTTCTCAACTCTAAAAGATCTTTTGACTCATGCTCCGATATTATCACTCCCAGAAGGTGATAATGATTTTTCTGTGTATAGCGATGCTTAAAGGTTGGGACTCGGTTGTGTGTTGATGCAGCGTGGTAGAGTAATAGCCTATGCCTCAAGACAACTGAAAGAGTATGAAAAGAATTATCCCACCCATGACCTCGAACTCGCTGCATTAGTATTTGCCCTAAAACTTTGGAGGCATTATTTTTTTGGTACAAAATGTCAATTGTTTACTGACCATAAAAGTCTCAAGTATATATTCAGTCAGCAAACTTTGAATATGAGACAACAACGAGCCATGGAGCTGATCAAAGACAATGACTGTGAAATCTTGTATCATCCTGGAAAGGCTAATGTAGTTTTCGATGCACTTAGCAGAAAGGTTTATCATAATAGTGTGTGTTATGTTATTACTCACACTACAATAAAGTTCAGTATTCTTGATGAACTAGAAAAATTGCAAGTAGAGGCTTTAAAGCCAGAAAATGTGAAGAAGGAAGGGATGGTACATTATGCTGATATTTTACTTGATGATCCACGTGGACTGAAAGTATTTAAGAATCGGCTATGGATTCTACAGATTAGTGGATTAAGACAGAAGATTTTAGATGAAGCCCATAAATCTAAGCTGTCAATACATCCTAGTACAAGTAAAATGTACTATGATGTACGGGCTGATTATTGGTGGCCTGGATTAAAGAGAGACATTGGAAGATACGTGCAGGAATGTTTAGTATGCTTACAAGTCAAAGCGGAACACCAAAAACCATATGGTAGTCCAGAAGGTATTAATGTCCCCATGTGGAAATAGGAGAACCTGTCCATGGATTTTATTACCAAATTGCCAAAGACTGCGAGACAGAATGATATCATTTGGGTAATTGTCGACCGACTGACTAAGAGTGCATATTTTCTTGCCATGCGTGAAACAGCTCCAATAGAGAAATACATACAAGTATACTTGGATGAAATTGTTGCAAGACATGGTGTGCCACAAAAGATTATTTCCGATCGTGATACTCGCTTCACTTCTCATTTTTGGGCAAGTATGCAACGTGAATTGAGATCTTGGATTGCTCTCAGCACAGCTTATCATCCCCAGACAGATGGTCAGACGGAGAGAACAATCCAAACAGTGGAAGATATGCTTCGTGCATGTGTCCTGGAATTTGGTGGTAACTGAGACAAGTACTTACCTCTTGTCAAATTTTCATATAATAACAGTTACCACACTTCAATCAAAATGCCACCATATGAAGCATTATATGGTCATAAATGCCGTACTTCATTATGTTGGCGTGATGTAGGACAGAAAATCCTTGGAGGCCCTGAAATGATTCAAGACACCACTGACAAGATTCAAATTGTACGAGAAATAATGAAAGCGGCCCATGATCGACAGAAGTCTTATGCAGAAAAGAGAAGACGACCCATAGAATTCCAGTTGGGTGATTTTGTAATGCTGAAGGTATCCCTATGGAAAGGCATTATGCGATTTGGGAAGAAAGGAAAATTTAGTCCTAGATTTGTTGGACCTTTCAAAATCATCCAAAGAATTAGTAAGCAAGCATACCGTTTGGAATTGCCGGAAGATTTGGCAGGTATTCATGATGTGTTTCATGTGAGTTATCTGCTTAAATGTTTAAGCATATATGATGAAACGGTCCCGTTATCCGAGGTGAAACTGGATAATAAATTAAGATATGTAGAAGAACCTGAAGAGATCGTAAACGAAAGAACGGTTGATCTACGTACTAAAGAAGTGGAGTTGGTGCTTGTCAAGTGGAAACACCATCGATGCCCAAATTATACTTGGGAAAATAAGAATGAGATGAGAGCGAAATATCCCCATTTGTTTAAATCGTTAATTTCGGGGACGAAATCCTCAAAAAGAGGAGGTATTTGTAACATACACGTTAATAACCTTGTATAATTATCGTGTTTTGTAAGCTTGATAGCTTAAAAGTGAATATTATTATATAATATATGATTTTGAGCGTTGAGTTCCAACAATATATTTTTATGAGATTTGAAGTAAAACTATGTTTAGAATCATCCAGGAAGTGATGGGAAGTCTTATGAGATTCTGATAAAAAAGTCAATTATCGAAATTAACAAACATATAACATTTAAGTTGGAAATAATTAAAACTAATGTTATAGAAAGTTGTAAATTATCTCGTTAGAAACGTTTAGGCGAAAACCTCATCGAAATCCGAGTTATAACGAAGAAGTTATGACTTATCAAAGTTTCGCGACAGAACCGGCACGACGTCGTATGACGTAAAAAGTGAGTTTACGATAAACTTACTTTTTAGCTTTAGTGATCTAAATGAAAGTCATAGTATTCGGCATATCAGTGTACAGTTCGAAATTCGAATTATAGATCGAGCGATTTTCAGCTGACACAATCTAAACGAGAATTGAAGATCTTGTCGATTGTAGTTCAACGGTAAAAAGACAGACGGGAACGGACGTCGGATGAAGAAGTTATGAATTTTTAACGGACTTTTCCTGTCTCGGCCTGTTAAAATATAAGTTTAAAAAAATAAATTCAAAATTAGCCGACGGAGTCAAAACGAAAGATGTAGAGTATAATCTCACCTACGCGTGGATATAAAGAACGTCAAAAACGGAGTCTGTATGCGAAAGATATGAATTTTTGAAATTTTAGACACAAACTTCAAGGCTTATCCGAAGCAGTACGCCCATCGTACTTAGACTACGCCCCGCGTACTCGGAAGCAAGGTCCGGAATCAGCCACGTTGCCTTTCCTTCGCATGCAGACACGTCCGACGTTACGCATCACTCTACGCGCAACATACTGCATTTACGCTTAGCGTAGAGCCACACCAAACAGTACGCCCCGCGTACTGGAATTACGCCCAGCGTACGGAGAGTCTTCGGACTACTATAAATAGAAAGCGAGCCTTCCGAATTTTGTTTATAATTTTCATACTCTTTCATCCCTCAAACTCTCCTAACACCCCCCGAAGCCGAGGGAACTACCCTACTACCCGAAGCAAGCCACAGAGCACCCGAAGACCCCGAGAAAATAATATTTTCAGTCGAAACTCTGTCCGCACAAATCCCGGTTTTCAACAAAAACTCCCGGTTTCGTCAAAGAAAGTCATTTTTAGACACGAAGTGCTGCCCAAATTACCATTTTATCATTCGGTTATTTTACGGAGAGTTCAATATAGGGATAATTGTATGTTATGTGTTATATGTTCAATGTGCTTTCCTATGTTATTCTGGTTTTATATCGTTGATCATATAGAGCATGTCTCGTATCACTTTTGGTATTGGCTATGAGCCATTAGCCATGTAGAGCATGTCTCGTATTATTCTGGTATTGGTTTTATGCCTTTGGCCATGTAGAGCATGTCTCGTATCACTTCTGGTATTGGCTTTGTGCTTTTGGGCATGTAGAGCATGACTCGTATCACTTTTGGTATTGGCATCAGGCTAGGTAGGGATGAAAGCCTGTATATTCTAGCAAAATGATAATCAGAAATTGTTTATTTTCTATGCCACTTGGGCTGAAGTCTTATTGATGTATATCATGTTGAAATTGTTGTATTTCATTGATTGTAAATCTTTGAATCAAATCATTTGTTGATATGGAAAGTTTGTCATATGATACACATATGCCTTTGTTGTTCTTTGTCCCTCTTTGCTTCTGTCATATTGTTATATATATGGCATAGCGTTATATTGTATCTATTTTTAAACTCACTAAGCGTCATCCGCTTATCCCTCTCAGTGTTTAACTATTGCAGGTGATAAGCATCCCGTATAGTCATGTACTTTTGGAAGATGTAGAATAGTTAATATTATCACTTTTGTACTTAGTGTATAAATTCCTGGGAAATTATGTAATATATAAAACTTTGTACAAATCTCAATAGTTGGTTTGTATCCAGACTTTTGTGAATTATATTACGAACATGCATGTGGCATGTTTGGATTAATAATATTGTAAAGTTTAGAGAAGGGGTTCTCTCAATATCATATGTTACGTCATATTACATTCATCTCCGAAATTCCATTATATCTTGCGCAATAATATCTCGTATCGTTGCCATATACGAGTTATCATTACTCGTGCGATGTGTACTTGGACCTTCTTCGTCACCTTCACTACTAGTACGATTGTGTGCAGGAATGTAGGATTCTTGTTGTGCCCTATTAAATGCTTCATCAAACCTACCGGTCTTTCTAATATAGTTATGGATTGCCATCGATGCAATCACAATACTCACTTGGTGCTCGTACTTGTAATTAACATGCATGTCTCTTAATAACGCCCACCTAGCTTTCCATACTCCAAAAATGCGTTCAATGATATTTCGCAATGATGAATGATAATAGTTAAATTTCTCTTTCGGTCCACGAGGTTCACGCATAGCAGCAGTATGTCCACGTCGAAAATCCGGTAAATGATAGCGAATATTAATTCCTTTATATGGAGCAAGATACCCTCTGGTATTCGGGTATCCGGCATCAACAACATAATATTTATCTGTAAAAAAAACAAACATTTGTTATTCGTTTCAAACAAGTATTAAAAACATAAAACTCGTGTTAATAAAAATTTATACTAACCACCCGTTGGAAACAGAAAATGAAGATCCGGTCTCTGTAAGGCTTCATTAAAAATTCTTGTGTCAAGTGCAGTCCCCTCCCATCCGGCCCACACAAATGTGAAACACATGTTAAAATCACAAACAGCCATTATATTTTGTGTAGCATATCCCTTTCGACCAATGTATTTTGCTTCCACATGTTGTCGAACCGATGCCCTAACGTGTGTCCCTTTTAGAGCTAACCCAAATAACATTTTGAGTTCTCTATCCTCTTCACCCAACATTCCTCATTATCGTCATACGAATTAGAGTCATCACTATACATCCTACATGATACAAAAACATATTGTCAAACAATAACACATAATATAAAATATCGATTACATAACGACAAATAATAACACATAATATAAAATGTTGATTCATAACAACAAACAATAACACATAATATGACATCTCGATTACATAATGTCAACAACTACCACATAAAAATATAACACATAATGCCAAACATAAAACAGTAAGACATGATGTTAAATCACAAATCATTATTTCATTAGTAACTTAAGAAACTCCATCTTTGCATCATCATTAGTTGGAAACATAAAAGCTTCACGATTTTGTTTTTTGGTGAAGACAAGCAATGCTTGTGAATACACTTGGGAACCTTCAACGAAACCGGGAAACTTGATGACAACGGTCATGCAATCTGCTATTGTTGGGGAGGGATTATTTTGAGGAAAAGTTTGTGTACTTTTTGTTGATATGACATCTAATAAAGCATCTACTTTTTCCTCATAGATTGAAGTTTTACTCTTGGTTGAACGGTTGTTGGAAACATTCTTAGACTTCTTCCTTTTACTTGAACTACTTTCAGGAAAACTAGGAAAAAGAGGCTCATCGTCATCTACATTGATTTCATCACTATCTCCTTCGCCCTCCATATTTGCTTTGTTGTTTTGAAATTGTAACAGAGTCATAGTCTTATCTCCAATAGCAACAGAATCCCGAAACAAAATTAGCATATTTCATGTCAAATATGCTCAAATCTATGTCCCTAAATTTGGCATATTCTTTATTCTCCTGTAAGACACACAAATAATTTTTAATTCATTGATTTCACTATGCAATCATAATTTAAAATAATTTTAAAAAATAGTAAATCATACCTTTATTTTCTCCTCCCACCACTCAGGCGTGGCGTCTATTAAGCTTCTCGTCCTACCAATTCCAGTTTCAATCCTCATTAAACGGTCATAAAGCTTCCATTCTTTTTTCATAATGTCCCATTTGTTTTTAAGTTGTTTTCTTTCATAGTTTTTTCCTGTTTTTTCCTTCATGTGTTTTCTTAAATTCTCCCACCCAACCTTATTGAAGTGACTAGTAGGCCTATTCCCTTTTTTTTACTTCAATCACACACGCATCAACAAATACTTTGAAGGTATTATTATCCCATACGACTTTTTTTTTTTAATAGATGTTTCACAATCAACAACATTAATGTTGTTTTCGTCCATAATCTGAGAATTATAAAGAATGAATATGTAAACTTTTGAAATGCCTAACATCAAACCAAAGTAACATATTCACACACAAATAAAACTGCAGATTCATAGTTAAACCAACTATTATATGTGATTTTACAACAATTTCATTCAATTTCTAAACTGATTTCACTAATTTCATAATTTTTTCATGAAAACATCAAACCATAAAAATGAAGTTGACATGTATCAGTCAAATGAAGGAGTATTCCAACAAAACATTTTTCACAGTAAAAAATCCAACTTTTACAGCAAATTAATTTAATTTCTAAACAAATGTCATCAATTTTTCATGAACACATCAAACCAGAAAAATGAAGTTTACAAGTATCAATCAAATGAAGGGTATTTCAGGATGTGGTTATTGATGAACAACAAAATCGATTGAAGTAATAGTTGGATTTCCGACTGTGGGTATTGATGAACAAGAAAAAAATCCAAAATCGGAATACATAAGGGAGCAAATCGGAACACATAAGGGAGAAAACCGGAACACTGAAGCCACAATACTTATGATGAATAATTTGAAACTTACCGGATCGGAACAGGCTGTAGATCAGAGATCGGTTGTCAACGCTGGTAGTGGCAGCGGTGGTCTTGATCGGAGATCGGCTGGAGAGGGATGACCGATGCAGAAACGATGCACAGGGGAGAAAAACACAGAGGGGAGAGAACGAGATGTATGGTTGTTATGAAGAATTAATGTCGATTATTAGGGTGGATGGGGTATAAAGGTAATTTTAATTTTAAGAAGCAAAAAGCCTTCAAAAAGCCACGATTCTCTTGCTTTTCAAAAACTGCGTTTTCTTCCTTACCAAAAAGCCTTTTAAAAGCACTTTTCACTTACCCAAACACATTTTCAGCTTATTGGATAAGCAAATAAGCTAATAAGCCATTTTTATAAGGAATCCCAAACACCCTCATAGTAAAGCAATCAGATTGCAGTATATACAATGGGGTGGAGAGGAGTGATAATCAGTTGCCTTTTTGGTTCATAACTTTTTTTTATTTAAATAATATTGAAAACAAATACATATTGTATAGTATTTTTTTTTATATTTTTATATAAATTTGTTAACAAAAATAAGGACATTAAGATTTAAGTAGGGATGTATCCCCCGCATTGCGGGGGTTAGTGATGTTCAAAAGGAAAACAATTCATTTATATATGCATGGATGAGGGGTTCATTACGTACATCAAAACATCAACATGCTTTATTCAAAGATAGGTGCTACAACCAATGTTTACTCATCGTAGATATCTTTCAATTTATTATGTATGGCCAAGCCCTCTTGGAATTTTAGTTCCTTAATATTATATCGTCTTGGATACAAAATTAAACGTTCGGTCATCGGTTAGTACTGGTTTACTAATAATTTTAGTCGGTTAATTGTTTAGGTTGTCGATTAATAATGATCCAAAATAACATTAAAAAAGAAAGTAGGTTGCTATAAAAATTGGAAAATAAAAAGTACATTGTTATAATCAGTGAAAATCTTTGAAAATTTATGGAAAGAATCACAAATCAACCATTTTGGGGAATCGAGATGTAGAAAAATCACAAAAAAATGACGAAAAGTACTTTTAGTTAACACCAGATTAGAAGCATATATGATTCCAGTTTCCCTATGAATTGCCTCTGTGCTACAATCGTAGCCAAATACAAATACGCAAATATAATGCTATTTTGTTTTCCACTACACAACATAAAAAAGAAAAGAAAAATAGCTTCCATAAGGGTAAGAGAATTAACATAAAGTAGACGTGATTTTAGTTAACGATTTTGTCACAATTTCATAACTAATAGTATAATTTCATTTTACCTCAATATTGTCCTTACACTTTCATCGTACTATGGTTTTGGTCCTTGTACCATCACCCATAAATTAGAAATGTTAATTTTTTAAAACCAATAAAGTACCCGTGAGGTAGTCTTAATTTTACCACCATTACTCCATATTCTGGATTTTCCATCGTAAGAACCTATTGCAAATAGTGTTTTCGCACCCTACATAGAAACCACCAATTTGAGATATCAGTAAAATACAAACCATGAGATGTAAAGTAAAAAGTAAAAAGTAAGAAATGACCTTCAAATGAAGTGTGGCCACGAAAGAAAAGCAAGATTTTGTTGCAATCATAAACCATGTAAGAAATGACCTTCAAAAATATTTATATTCAAATTTAATAAAAAGAGCCAACGATGCAAATGAATGAGTTCATGTTCTATAAAACCTTATTAAAAACCATGTCAAAAGTATATTTGATGAAAACGTAAATCAACACTAAGATTAAATTAAACAATAGTGAAAAGACTATGGACCCCATGTATGTACCCGAGACCAAATCATAACAACGGGTAAGAATGCAAGTGTATGATATATGTCACTTTCTGAATCAAAGCCAAGTGATTTCCAATTTCCACATTAGCTTTTAGGATTTCTCACAATAAAATATATGAGGAAAAAAAGATACATAAATAAAAATTGGTTATATTGCAATTTACATTCCATTCCATGATAGGATGAAAAAAATACGCTACAAAGGATTGAGAATTAAAAAAAATGGAAGAATAACATTCCTTTAGCAAAGGTACATTACATTCCATTAGGCAAAGGCAAAAGAAACTGGTATTTTTCATTCCAGTGGAATGAAAAATTCGATTCATTCTCCAATTCCATTGTACCAAACAGTACTTAAAGCTTATTTAAAAAAAACGATGATTCTATTCAAGCCAATAAAAGTAAACAGGGTGTTTGGACGTGGTTCTAAATGCAATGTAAGATAGGGGCTTCCATTTTGTCTCATTCTAGCAACCAAAGAGTCAAACCTGAAAATGGTCTTCAAATTTGGTTACACAAAAGGGTTATAACTAAAAATTAAAGTCAAAGTCAAACAATAACCATATATGAACATTTATAATAGGAACACCGACTTATTACTCCAAAATTTTGAAATATAGAATTGGTTATCATTCTTCAAGTAAAAGAAGCTTTATATATTTCTTCCAGATTTGCATCCATAAGACCAACATGTATTCATATTGGTTTTGGACTACAATGAAACTTCACTGTATTCTGATTGGAAAGTATTAAAATAAAGTAAAACAATTAAAAATTATATATTTCTAGACAATTGACTCTCATTTTCAGCAATTGACTCTCTTATTGAACATTACAATGTGTAGAAACTCCATATGAAACCTTTACTATGAGTAGTACTTGATTTGGCATCATAAAAAGTGTTGCGTTTTTTTGTTTGAATTTGTGGAGTAACTTCTCATTTACAAATACTTTTTAATATCATATAAAAGGTATTTAAGTGTTATGAGCTACCCAATTTGATCAATTTCTTTGACCAGATATCAGGTGAAGACGTCATTAACAGAAAAAATAAAAAAGACTCCTTTGAGTCAATTGGATAGCATCAAAACCTCAACCCCTAAATAAATTCAATTAGTTATGTTCTAAAGCGAAAATCTATTGATTTATACCGTGTAGAAGTGAAAATTGAGCAAAAAAGGTACAGGGTCATACCTGGTTTGCATAGACGACTTGAAGAATCTTTGATGAAATTAGCAATTAGATGAGGGCAGTCCGCGTGTTGGGATACAACACATAGTGTACAGAAGGTACTTCAGAACTACAAGTTGGTTAAGTTTTTTCACCATAAATTAGCTTCTTGATCATTACATCCATCTTTGCTTAAATCAGCTACGATTTGCACAAGAATTCGATAGCTAACCTGATGAAAAACACATCCCATAATAAAATATACAATTGTATTTAGATAAAAAAGAGATCAAAGATTTGGGACATTGTGATAACAAAAACTTAATTAAAAAACAATTTATGTAAAATTAGGGCAGCAAAATTCTCAAACATGGCCTCTTCCTTCAACACACGGAGACTGAAATCAAACATCATCATAAATGTAGAAGAAATAAAATAGGGAAAAAATAACCATGTAAATAAAACAGGCACAAGAAATAGCATAAATTGGCATATCTGAAGTCTTTGATCTAAGGCGTCGCCGGTGGAGAAAAGCTCGAGCCGACGACGGGAATTCGAGGATGTAGAGAAACCCAAAACTCATCGAACGAAGATAACGGAGAAGGCTACAATGTGAAGGTTGGAATAGCAATTTCGCTCCAGATCATCACGAAAAAAACAGAGAAAACGTGAATCTGAGGAAGTGAAGCACCAACTTGAATTTAGGGTAACAAAATCGAGCAGATGGAATGTATAGACCTTCAAAAATGGAATAGAAATCAAAGAGAATAATTGAGAGAGGGAGAGTAACCTATGAATCTTAAGGGTGGAAAAAAACCCAAAACGATGATGATAAAAGGCAGCGTCGGAGAAAGATAAGAGAGAAACGGGAAGAAGACACCTGTTATCCTATCGTGGAAGAAGCAGATTAATTGAGAGAGGCGGTCACTGTAGCAAACCGATGACGATGCACATTTCCAACAAAGGAAAAGTGAAAACATAAAGCACGTGTATAGCATGAACGGTGGAAGAAAACTAGACGAAAAGAAAATGTAAAAGAAACATCGTTTTCACTCAAAAAAGAAAAAAAAATAATCCCCCAGTCACAGAAAAGTAGTTTTTCACTCAGAAAAAGAAAAAATAATAATAATCCACCAATGAGAGGAAACTACTGTTCCTAAGGGAACACAAAATTAATCTATATATAATGTTTATAAATTAGTTTACACATAAACGATTTTTTATTTATTTTTCTAATATAATCATACAAATGTTTTTTTAGAAATATTTACAAGATTGATAATATATATAAGGGAATGATATATATATATATATATATATATATATATATATATATATATATATATATATATATATATATATAGGCTTAGGTTATTCTATTCAAAGTAATTATTGTGTTATTGTATGCATAAATGTGGGCCAATTAAATTTACTTATTTTAAGAAAGTGATTAATATATATTATTGAATTAAATATAATTGAAAAATATCATTTAAATTAATTACAAGGGTATTTTAGTCAATTAATATAGATTTAATAAAGGAAAATTGCATTTTTTAAGGAATCATAGGTTCTATTAATTTTAAAAATCCGATTTTACGAATTATAATTCTTTTAATTCGGACATTCTGACAGAATATGTTGATAAGTATATTCAAAAATAAAAATATTCTTGAACCTATTTCTTGATCATGACTTTAAAAACTTCTTGTAGAATAACAAATTCTTAAACAATCAATTGAAGAATAAAAACAAAAAATACATTGTTTCTTATAGAATACGGGTAACAATTGTTAAGAATTACATTTATTGTTAAAGAATAAAACTAAAAAAACTTTCAAAACGGGAAAAAAAACATCAAAATCTAACAACGACACTAATACATTCTAAAAGAATAATGTTGCTTAGAATCACTTTCAACTTTGTGGTCCGTTCTTCAAGCATCAACTTCTGTGAAAACAAAACCAAATTGTAGTTTAGATTCCAATAATGCATTAGCAAATGAAAAATAAAAAACTAAATTCATTTGGAAAAATATGTGGACTTGTGAATTGCACCAAAACCAATACCCAAGAATTGTAGAACATGCATAAATTAGTGAGAAAATATCCATACTCCATTCCAACATAATTAGAATTCATGATTACATTCCAACAGAATTGGAATTCGTGATTCCATTCCAATAGAATTGGAATCTCACCAATATCATCCATTGAATCATCTACAGAAACAAATTGATTTTTATCATATAAGAAGAAGTAAATTTGATATGAAATGATACCATTTTTTTACCCCTCTTGCTCATTGGTAATTACTCTTTTCCCTTTTTACCCTTAATTTTCCCTTTTTCCCCTTCCTTTTGTATGTGTAATGTAACAGTGGCCTAGCACAAACTTTCACATGCAACCTGTAGAACGGATCAGTATGTTCTATACCCGTATGTATAACTCTTTTCCTTTTTTACCCTTCCTTTTCTGGTTCGTGAATCAGCCAAGAACACCTCCTTTGGAGGTGTTGCTTTCCCAATAAGAAACACAAGGTTGAACCTCTTGTTCTACATTTCCTTGTTCCTATCAAGCAAAACAATAAACCCAAACACCCGTTCAACCATCAATTTCTGTAAAAACACTCAAAACCAAACATCCATTTCATCCATTGATACCAGTCGACACAAACAAACAAAAAATGAATGAATCAAGAGTATTGATGTGTGTGAACTCAACTAGTTTTCATCCTACTTTTAAATATAAATTTAACACACAAAAGGCAGTGTACCTGTCAATTGGTGGTATAATAATTAGGTAAGCAGGGTATCGAACACAGAAACGGTAAATTAAACTAAATACCATAATTATCTAAAAAAAACAAATAATGAAAGGAAGGGTTTTCTCTAGTTTTGCAAGACTAGAAACTTAACTAAAACTTAACTAATCAACTAATAGATGAAAACACGTAAAAACAAACTAAATTACATGATCAAAAGGGTTTCTGTTTAGGTTCGATTCATTTACTCCTATGGTTAATTTTTATGATAATGTAATAGATTAATTGTTATTGGTTACCGACTATGGTGATTAGATTCACATTCGTTATTACCAATCCTTAGAAAATAAATTAATTTAAGCAGTGATCAAATGATTAAACTAATAAATTCCCTAGTTTAATTATTCGGGTTAAATAAGACTTGTAATTAGCTAATTAAATTGGTGATTCAATTAACCTCTTGTTGATGGTGTATCACACAAGCTCACACATTAATTTACCCATTCTTTAATTAATCCTAGTTTCATGTTCATTATTCCTACGCATATAGCAATGTGTTCACATAAATTATATGAGATAAGCAATCAAGAGATGTTCATGCAGCTTAATTACTTAACAATTAACAGAAAATAGTTATGGTTAATGCATAAGGGTCTTTAACAAGCTTAATTTAACAAAATCACCAATTAACAATTAATCAAAAGAGTAAATTAATCCATAGGAGCAAATTTGTCTACCCTAAACAGAAACTAACGAAATTAGTTCATGATTTCAGTATATGAAAACCTAAAAACGAATTTAAACAAACCTAACATAGTTCTATTCAAAGGTAAAGTGGAAAATTAAACCTAAATTGCCTTAATCTTCTAAGAATGAAGGATTAGGGTTCTTCAATGTTTTCCAGGGTTCCAGAGACTTCCTTGATCGCCAAGTATTTCCACTAAAATTCCAGAGCCAGCCCCAATTCGGGTTTGTTGATTCTATTTATAGATTTCTCAAAACAGGGGCTACTCGTCGAGTAGCCAACCGACTCGTCGAGTCCCCTTGAAGAATCTGTGTACGGCAAGGACTTCACGTATTGCTTCGCGAACCTTCGTGTGTACTCGTCGAGTAGACGTCCCTACTCGCCGAGTAGCTTTAGAATTAAGCATTTTTCTTCTTTCTTTCGTTCCCGAGCTTTCGATCGTAACTCCTGCTTCCTTTTGCTTCCGAGCTTCTCTTTTGGACTGAAAATATAATTTGAAAAATATTAAGTATCTTTTGTCCATAATATGTAAATAATTAGCTAACAAATAATGAAAATCTCTACTAAATATATAGCTAAATATGCATATATCAAAATACCCCACACTTGACTTTTGCTTGCCCCCAAGCAAAACTGTATTTTAGCACACTAATATCATATAAGATAATTCCAATCGAACCCAGCCATTATGCCAAGACCGCAACGCATGCATTTGTGTCTAAAAATTTTTTCTAAGGACCCCCTCTAATTCTAAATACTCACAATCCTCATAAACACTCGCCCACTTCTTCCGAACAATGCTCATTTTATGCATCCCTCCGGATCCATCCGCAGAAAATCTCCTAACCTCAAGGTATTTTTGGTTGAGCAACCCAAGCATACATAAACTAGAAAATTACAACTCTTTCCGATACCACTATAGAGCTATTGGAATTCTTCACTTCTTTGATATTTGATTACTTTGAATTCACCATCTTTTTGATTTTTGGTATCTTCAACTTTGATCTTCTTTAGAATCTTGATCTTTTGATCTTCACTTTGATTGCTCCAAAATCCTACAACTTTTTCTTGTAATTCTCTCTATCTTTTTTTTAAACATGTAACTCACTTTTTTTCACTCAAAACCCTACATGCTTAAGCAGGGGCGCTCAACTTCAACCTTTATTGGCTAAAGATAATAATTTTCCTGGATACATTTCAAGTACACGATGCTAAACATATTGCATCCCTCAAACTAAGCGAGGTTGTGTTTTTGTCCCATGATTTCACTAGAATAAAGGGGGCCACAAATGCACTAGAACGTGTATAGGCTCAACTAAACATTTGGGCCTTCATAAAATCACCAAACATAATACTAGCATGATTCCTAATTGCTTTTACCATAATTTTCTAATTTAGCCCTAGCAATTTTTAATGCAAAAATTTTTCAAAATTTTCAAAATTTAACTAAAATAACCCACCCCCTACCCCACACTTAATTTATGCAATGTCCCCATTGCATATTATGTATGATAAAGAACATAAAAG